AATATTTCTGTTTGAAAAAAATAAAAAATAAAATAAATTGTGCCAAATTCCAACCCAACCAATCAGCCACCTCAAGTCCCACCGCCACAACTTCCACCAAATCCAGTAGCAAATTCATCCCATCCCATTAGCCAAATGACCCCTACAATCAATCACCCCACCTTCCGAATTGCTCTTGCCAGTTTTGCGGCTCTCCCTTAATTCAATTTGAACAATATCTTGCAGTGAAGGCAAGGCGACCATTACCTGTGACTGAAGCTTCAAAGCAACTTGATCCTCATCCTCCTGTGTGTTCCTCTCAAGGTCAACTCTAAACCCTAGTTTATCTTTATGCCCGAAATCCTACAACGACGACGTAGAAGAGGAGGCGGAAGATGACGATCGGGATCCTTACTTATAGACGGATTGCCAATGTGCGGGCAACATTCGTCTGATGGGGGTAATTAGTACGGTAATATCATTTTATTTTAGTTTGGAGGGTATTAATCAAAGATGATATATTTTTACGGTAGTTGCCTAATTTTCCCTATGTTAATCTGTATTATAAGCCTGACCCAAGTCGTGCAATCGTGGTTTTTTGTAGCGGTAAGAGCATCTCCAATATTATGTAGATTGCATTCTATATACAATCAAACAGACCGAATTCTAGTTTACGTGACAATAAGGTCATGTTTGATTGCACTTCAATTCTTTGGAGGATGGATAAATTTCATTTTCCACATTTTTTCATGTTTGGTGGAAAGAGCTTTTCTAGGTAACTTTTATTTTATTATTATTTTTTTTTTTGGACAATGGAAATATATTTTATTTCTAATTATAACAAATTATAACCATTTAATGGACAATTTTCATGGAAAATAAAGTCAAACGAACACAAAAAGATTCAATATTTCAATATTTTTCAGATAAAAATTATACCAATCAAACACAATTAATTGACAATTCCCAATAAAACAAATTATATGCAATTCAATTCTCTGTAGTTCATTTTCATTCTATTTAAGTTTCATTCTTACAATCAAACAGACCATAATATTTAAGAAATTGATTTTAAAGCTCAAAATTGATCTTCAACTATTCTTTCTATTACCCAATTCTCTTGAATATGTAGATATAAATAATACTTTTAAGTCTCTTGATTAGAAGAGAGACCTTTGTCATTTGCATTTCTTTTAGTTTCTCTCTCCAATTGCTTTTCTCATGTCGTACTTTCTCTATTAAATTAAAGAGACAATTAGGCTAGGCTTCCAAAAGTATCTCCATTGGGGATGTGAATTGCCCCAAAAAGTGTTAACATCACCCTCAAATACTTAGCCCTTGTTTGACAACCTTGAAAAGAGTTTTTCTACATTTTTCTCTTTTTTTTTTTTTTTTTTGAGAAAATGATTTTTGGAATAGTTATTTTTTGGAGATTATGTGGTTAAAAGGTAGAAAATTTTTGAATTTACATACTAAATATTTTATTATGAGAATGTATGATTGAAAAGGAACTTGAGAATTTATTTTCCCTTCTTTAAATGATTGTCAAATGGGGGCTTATATGGCAAGAAAAAGGTCGGGGATGTCTGGATCCCCTCTCTCGTACTTATGGTCCATTTAATTTTTTAGATATGGAGTATGCGTCCCATTTAGTTTTTTATAATTTATCTTTAGTCTTTGTTTACATCATCTCTTCTACGCGAATGATCCACCGACCACAATTAGTACAATTCATATCCCCATTGAAGATGTTTCTCTCCATTTCCATTTTGCTTGCCACATGTACATCATTTCACATTGTTACGTTGATGATGTTATAATTAGATAAAGTCAAGTTGACACTGTATACTTTAATTTCGACCACACCGTCTTAACATTGTGCATCTCATCATGCATTTGGAGAAGAAATGTTATGAACAATTTCCATTTTGGTGATGTGACAACCTTTTTTCTTTCAAATCCACCCTGCATCGAAGATTCTCTAATACAAAGTCATTGATAAAATCTCTTCAAAACATAATGGAAATATAATTTGATGTGTAT